AATGAAACAAACTTACGGTTCGAACATCGTGCTGATTGCTTTAGTCCGTAAAGGCTTCTGTTTAATTTGCACACTAAACCGGGTTTCTTTTGGTTTTCGAACCCCGATGGCTGTTTCATATACACACACTCCGAGAGATCGCCGTACAAAAAGGCTGTTTGTACGTCGAAATTAGAAATATGCATGTCATGTTCGGTTGCCAATGCAAGCAGAATTCGAATAGAATCGTATCGTATCACCGGCGCGAAAGTCTCTTGATAGTCCACCCCTTTTTCTTGTGTGAATCCCCGCGCGACAAGACGTGCTTTATAGCGCGATGGTTTGCCGTCAGAAGATATTTTGATACGAAACACCCACTTATTGTCAACGATTTTCGCGTTTTTCGGTAATGTTACTAAGTCCCACGTATTGTTGCACTTTAACGCGTTTATTTCTTCTTGCATAGCGAGGCGCCATTTATCAGAATCTTCACAGCTGATGGCTTCTTCGTATGTCGTAGGTTCGGAAAGTGAACAATAATTAGCATAGGCAGTATAAAAATTGGGTCTTGACAACTTGCTTCTATCTCTTAATTCTCTTCTATTCTCATCTTTCAACTCAAAATTTTCTTCACATTGATAATCTTCATCACTCAAATATTCTTCGGCAGTTTCTTCTATTTCTGTAATTTCTTCGCTAGGGTTGTTTTCATCTATATTTTCTGGTACTTCGAGTGTCTCATTTTGTGGTTCATAATTCTCTGATATGTCAAAATAGAGGGTAAATGTTTCCTTTTTGGGTGAAAATTGGTCATTTTCGTTGAAATTAACATTACAGCTGATTTCAATTCTACGTTTCTCTGGATCCCAAAGTCTATAATTGGATGAATGACCGTCATAACCTACCAACAATAATTTTCGGGATTTTGGCTCAAACTTTTTCCGAAACTGATCTGGTATTGCCATGTAAGCGATACTTCCAAAAATGCGGACATGTTTTAACGTAGGCTTACGGCCAAACCACTTCTCGTATGCGGTCATATTATCAATTTGAGTGTTTGCCGTTCTGTTCAGAATATATACCGCGCAATTTACCGCTTCGGACCATAATTCTTGAGAGACGTTCTTGTTGATAAGCATGGTTCTGGCACATTCTGTAATGGTTCTTATTTCTCTTTCCGATCTGCCGTTTTGTTGAGGTGTATAGGCTGCTGAATATTCGGGTGAAATACCTGCTTTCTGTAAAAAGTCTTTAAATGATTTATTTATGTATTCACCGCCTTGATCGCTTTTGAAAACTTTCATTTTGTTACCGGTTTGATTCTCTACAAGTGTCTTGTATTCTACAAATTTACTTAAGACCTCTGATTTGTGTTTGAGAAAATAAACCATGCGGTAACCGCTACAATCATCCTTGAATAGTACAAAATATTTTGAACCGCTAGGCGAGGGAATATTCATAGGCCCACAGACATCACTGTGTATCATAAAACCGGGCTTTTCAGCTCTTTTTACAGACAGATTTTTATGAGGTACTTTTGACTGTTTACCAAACTGGCAACTTTCACAGAAAAACGGCTCTTTTTCTGTGATTTTTAAATCGGATACTAGCTCAGAAGTTTTCTTGATGTAATGACAATTAACATGACCGAGACGCTCGTGCCAAAGTTTTAATGAATTGTTAATTGTACTTACATGACATTCCTGTTGAGGCTTCACTCTAAATTTCATGATCCATAGATTGTTTTTTCTGTATCCAACACAAACAACTTTTTTTTGGCTATCGCGGAACTCACAATGATTTTTGTATGAATGATACGTAAAATGTTTGTCTGTCATTGCTCCCACCGAAAATAAATTCCTGCTGAGCTCTGGAATATACAAAACATCTGTCATTGTTTTGTTTTGCCACTGGTTGTTTGCGAAGACTTGAATTTCTACAGTGCCTCTTCCAGCAACAGTAATTAATTTATCATTTGCTATTCGGACAAACATTGGTTCATTTACCTCTTGTAAATTGGTAAATAAATTTCTTTCGCTGCTCATATGAACGCTGGCACCTGAGTCACAAATCCATTCAGCTTTTTCGACATCGGAGCTTGCAGTATACAAAGAAGAAATATCACAAATAAATGCGGAGCTTGACGAACTTGAAGGCGAATTTGAGGTCGAAGACCTGTCATTTTTCTTAAGATTTGCCAATCTTTTGCGGCATTCTCTGATCCAATGACCTTTCTTTTTACAATAATTGCAAATCGAGTTTTTCTTCAAATCGTTGATATTTTTCTTCTTATTGTGATTATTTTTATTTACAGTAACATATTCTAATTTGCTTTGTAGAGCTTTGACTTCGAGTGCAAGACGAGACATTTCGGAATCGTCATGAGACATGCGGCTTTCTTCTTTTAATAAACGAGCAGAAAGATTCTCAAACGTTTGTTGGTTACTGGCTACGGAATCCCAAGCAGTTCTGAATGCATTGAATCTAGATGGTAAACTGTTTATAACCTTCGAACAGATAGCGCTAGGGCTTATAGTTTCTTTTACGTCTTTTAGCTGTCGTACTAAAAGTTCAATAGCTGAAATGTGTTCGGCAATATTTCCATTGTCTGGCATTTTATATTCATAAAACTTTTGCCATAGTAGCTCTCGTGATATTTCTGTTTTCTGTTAATGAATGGAAATCAGCCTATTCCACATTTTTGTTGCGTCATCGCAGTTAATGAGATGTTGCATTTGTTCCTGGCATATTGTTGATAACAAAATTACCTGCGCCTTGGTGTTTTTTGTGTCCCAAGCTTCCCACTCGGCACTAGTTTCATCATCTGGTTCCTTCGTGGTTCCATCAACAATTTTCATAAGTTTTTCAGCTTTTAATAGGATTGTTATGCCGAACTTCCAAAGCTGAAAGTTTGTACCATCGAATTTCGGAATGCTGCACGTATCAATTTTCACAGAACTTGCCATTTTCACAATCTTTATTTGTTTTACGACTTGAACGTAATTTCTCGGAAATAAAAATCACTCACTACTTGAACGCGATTTAAAATGACGAAAGTTAATGTTTTAGACTCGCACGTGAACTGGGACCGTAACCTATTAGATGAACCTATTGAGGTTTAATAAAACACAGTGAAATGAGTCTAACTATAATGAAAAGATACGTGACAAATTCGTGTGACAATGACAATTTCAATTTACAATGACAATACTAATAATTACAGGTTCTATAGGTAATAACTAGGTGAACAGAACTAACTAATTATAGCGGGAGAATAAAACTCAAATACTTCTTCTTAACAAGGTTAACTGATCTGATCCGCTGTACTATCGAGCAATAACTGCAACTAGTAGGATGACGGAGATTTCTAAAAAAAAAACCTTCAGAATTCAAAACTAAACCCTTATAGAAATCATAAAATCAATATTGTTTATAAATAGATATAAACTTATGACGTTATTATGACTAAAAACATTTCCCTTTTTTCATCTTCCAGACCATATTTTATGTTTTTATAATTGTAGACAAAAAACTTGCATACACGTACAAAACTTTTGTAACATATTGTGCTAATATATCACTTGTGTAAAATACAAAATTTCATCATTTTCATCTACTGGGTATTTGTTTATAACTGGAACACTCAGTTTCAACTCAACTTTCTTATTATTGAAAATAAAGGGCATGTTTAACTTGGGAAATTTCTTGGTAAATTGAAACCTTGAGCGATACAATGATATTTTTTGTCGTCATAGAGGTGTACAGGGTGCGCCAAAAAGGTATTTTTATAAAATGGAATGCCTTGTATATTTTTGTTTTTCAAATAGTTTTTGCTATATTTGTGAAGCTAATTTCCTAAGAATTTTAAAAATGCAAAAATATACAGGGCGTTCCATTTAAAAAAAATTACTTTTTTGGCGCACCCTGTATAACTATGGCGACAAAAAAATATCGTTGTGGCGATTAAGATCTTTGCAATTTACCAAGAATTTTTTCAATTTGAACATGCCCTTTATTTTCAATAATAAAAAAGTTACTGAGTGTTCCAGTTATAAACAAACACTCTGTAAAACCGATTCACCACAAAGCAAAATCTACAAGTATGTATGTCTCAAAAATTGAAACTCTTCAAATATTCTGCTTTTATAGGAAGAACATTGTATTTAACTGTCATCCATCAAGTTCTGTATCAAACGATCATGCTTAGTCAATTATTTCATATCATATTTGGGGTAGTTTTCTATACTCGTTTTGATATTATACAGCCACTAAGTTAATTTCCATCTATGGGGGGATTAAATTACCCCACTAATCTTTCAAATAATACATACATAGAGGTAAAATACGACTTCATATTTTTTGTCATTTTCAGGGAATTATTTCTATCTTGAATTTTTTTGAAGCAATCTTTCGAGTAGGACACTTTGGTCAAATGGCTTGTATCTTGAAAGATCTTTCTCAAAAAAAAAAAAATACTGAAAAACAAATAGAATTTCTTTATTAATACCCATTACAAGACCAAAAAACGAGAACTCAGACAATTTCTATTCACAACTATTTTGACACGTGCCATCGCAGCACACGGTTCCAGGTTCGCATAAGGATGGCAGTGGCACGCCATCGAATTCGAAGCAGGTACCGTCAAGAGCTGAAAAGAAAATCAGTTAAAAATGCACTAAAAAAAACCCATTCTTGTAAACTTACGAATTTCCATGACACATTTTTTGCAGCAATCGCAAAACGAAGGTTTCAAAACTTGCCCATCAGGACAAGAAGAATCGTCTTGGCAAGGATTTTCTTCGCAATAATCAGGTGGGCAAGTGATCATTTCCAGTTGAGCTTGCACATAGTTTGTGAAGAGAATTGTTAAACAAATGATTGCTATTGTTGATGGTGACATTTTGAGTTGTTGGATTGGAGGTTGCTAAGTAAATGGTCTGGATAATAATTTTTGACTGCCCAAATGTGTTATCAGTTATTGCATTTATAGAGCAGCAACTAACATAATTCATTGTTTGAATATAAAAACAAGAAGGTTTAGATCGAAGCTTAGATTATTTGTTGTAAACGGGGTAATTTATTAGTGTAATTAATAACATTAAGCTACTTATTTTAAAATTAACGCAAATTGTTATCGCTATCGGAACTGTGACAGCATTAAAAATGTATATTCCTGAAATAAATTATTGTTGCACTATAAGCTGTTATGGAAAGAGATGGGTGGTTCAATATGCCATCATAACACACAAAAGGGGGCACTGCAAAAGAAGGGAAACTTTTCCTGGGCATTAACACAACTCATTGTTTCTATTCAGCTGTTACAAACAAAAAGGGAAACTCATTTTTAGATATTTTAGGGATTTTTCTGCCTTTTTTGTTTCGAATATACGTGTACATAAAATTTTGTATTTATTCACAAATAAAATAAATCACAAAGTATAAAATATCACAAAATATTTTCATTAAAAACCATAAATTAGTACTTTATACCGATTGACATGCTGGTAAGACTACCCCGCTTTTTTCGAGCCTCTATTTCGCTCTCGGTTTCCCAATTTTGTCTCTGATCTGTGGCGAATAGAGCGAAGAAAACGGCCGTGGCGCCCACTAACGCAGCCAAAATTAAGAAAACTTTTCTCCATTGCGAAGGATCGGACTGAAAAACAACAATTACAATATGTTACACAAAAAAAAAAAGTTTCAAGAACCTCATCCACACAAATCCATTGAACTAATAATGGAGCGAATAGAGATATTGTTTGAGCGAACATTTGAGTAAAGCCCATAATGATGCCAGCATATTTCGGTGAAACGTCCAAAATATTAATTTTCGCTCCTGCCACGGCTGCACTTAGAAAAAAGGCGTGGCCTAAACTCAAAAGTACCACTGACCAAATTTTGTGATCTTCACTGATGTAAGTCATTGCAATTAGACTCAATGATACTCCTGTGGTGCCTAAAATATTAAATATTTAATGTTTTACTCTAAAAAATGCTTGAAATGTTACCAGTTAAATGAAACAGTCTGCGTGCATTGAGTACCGAAATAAAACCTTTTGATGTGATCAAATCTGATAAAATTGATATTGCTACGCCTGTGCTGATTCCTATTAGGGGCGGTATTGCTGAGACTGTACCATTCTTTCAAAAAATTACATAATAAAATGGTGAGGCATAGAAAACTTTCCACTAGGATGATTATAATATATATTATTATGTATCACCTAACACCTGAGTGGAGAATTTTTCATTCCCCACAATGTATAATAGTTGAAATTGATGTTTGATTTTGGAAATTTTTAAAATGAACAACTCACAGATGAGACGTCGGCAAATATGATGAGCTTATGTGCGGATATCAAATTTTCGTAAAAGCTATGGCCCAGAAGCCCGAAAAGCAATAACTTGAAACACGCTCTAACTTCCACCAATCAACAATTTCTTACCGTTTTCAAATCAAATTTCATAACTGCATTGAAAAAAATTGAAATTTCCGTCGACAACATCACACTAATAAACATGAAACCAGTATGGCCAATGGTAAAGGCCCAAACATGAACAGAAGAAACAATTTTCTTCCAAGGAGCACCCTTGTTACCATCCTTGGTCGCAAATAAAGTATCTCGCAAATATTTTTTTTCATCTAAGTCAATTCTATTGTGTTCCTCAAAACTTTGGGCTCCAAATATCGTGTATATAACAACCCATATTAGCTCTATAATGCCAAGAGAGTAAAATATCCAAGGCCATCCCAGTTTTGATTCACTAATAAACCCTGAGGCTATTGAAGTAAGTATCTGAAAAATAGTTAAAATTCCAGGACCAGTCATCTCCATTCTAGCTCTTTCTTCTGGCGGTGTCCATCGACCCATTGCAACAGCGTTGATAGGAAAAAGAAACCCGATAGCTAAGCCTTGCAGGAGCCTACAAATAATCACTCCAGTACTGCCAGAATGCGCTGCACTGTATGGAATAAGCATAAAAAATAAAGAGTTCAATGAGGAGGCTCCGATGAGGAACCATTTTGGTCCGTAACGATTTCCCAAGAATCCTGCTAGTACATTGACAGCAATTCCGCTCCACAACAGGGAAGACATTATGACGCTTTTATTGGTCCAGGTGTAGGTTGGTGTGTCATGGTTTGATGACGTCGCGTTACTCGTCATTGCCACAATGGCTACTGATAGAATTGATTTTGTGCACAAGTTTAGGCTCATGCCGAGGCTTATAAGTAGGATTTGGAGGTGTCTGGTGCCGAACCTTGGACCTAGAAATAATGTTATATTATCGGTAAATGTTGTGTTGAACAATTATAAAATGTCAATTTTTGAGATTTTTAATAAAACTTCTTATTAAATTATCTATTATTACAAGATAACACAACATGGTACAATCGGCCGTCGGAAATAAATTCCAAAGTAGTAGAAACCTACTGTAGCCTAGGAAAATTAATGAAATTAAATAATTCGTCTAGTCTTGAAAATCGGTATAAATATTCATTAAAGTGTCCTCATAAACATACTTAAATTCTCCCATGGCGTGGAGTGAGCTAGCGGTGGGGGAAAGGGTGAAAGGATCCCTCCCCTACCTCGTGCGCTGCCGACGTCGTCCACTCCACTTCCACACAAGCGCGCTTTTGTATCGAAACGTGCTTACGTGCCTAATTTAATGACCAATTTGTGTAAGGACGTGACTAGTGACCGCTGTAAAGTATTAGCAAAAGGTATTCAGGGATTGATAAGAGCTATAGTAATCATAGAAAAGATGGAAAACATATCCGCTCAGTGGCGTTAAAAGTGTTGTTTTTCATGCCACTTGTAGAAAGAGACACGACACGGAGTAGTTCAATAGGGTACTTGCATGGAAAATTAAATTGATTATTGTTTATTGCAAATTGTAGGAAATCGAAAAAAAAATCGTTACTTTTTTTTAATTTCGCCCAAATATGATTATTTCGGAAGTTATTCGAATATTGAGTTTTGTATATATAGATATACTGAGCATGTGCAACGTCACTTATTTATTAGATAAGTGACGTCATAGGCAGATTTCATAGTGTTGTATCTCCGTCAATTTTGGACTTAGAAGAAAAAGAAAAAACACGTGTTGACTTATTTTTCATGCACCATCGAAATCAGCAATAAAAAAATTTGATGCAAAGAGCCTATTATCGCTGATTTCAGACAATCGACATGACAATCGTCTACGTCGTCTGCTTCGACATTTGGATTGTGCTCATCACAGCCTTTACTTAATTTTAAATTAGAATGCCTCTTCTGCGCCGAAACAAGATGAGAAATTTCATGCCAAAGAAAAAAAGAAACCCAAACAACGACGCCGTGAGGTACATCCTACAGTTTTAAATTCAACTAAAAAAAGAAATGATGACTGGGAAAATAATGTTTTCCGGAGAATTATTAACACAAGGGATCTTGTTGCAGCTGAAGGTATATACCACCTTGACTGTTATAAGCATTTTGTATTTGACACATGAATCAGGAGGACTAGTCGTTGGTCGTCCTTATAAAAAATATGTGTTCATTGCTACGGAACAAATTCAATGCTGTATTGAACAAAATAAAGATTCTGAGATTTCTTTGGAAAACTTAATGGAGATAGTTTCCGGGAAAAAACCGACAATAGAGACGGTAAAGTCCAAACTTAAGGAAATATATGGTGGCCAAATATTGATTGGGTACCTAGTCATTTAAGATCATATAAATCCGTTATATGTTTTCGCGATATTGAACACAAAATCCTGAATGAGACTCGAGTCTAGTATACCAGATACTACGCTCCCATTAATACATTACTAACGCAGAGAGCGTGATACCCGAATCACTGAACGCCTTTCTGGATTTTCTTGAGAAAAACATAATTCCATCAGCGCATTCTATTATTAGTATCATTCGACCGAGAAGCTTCATTTCTCTAGTGCTGACAGTGCTCCAAGGAATTATATTTTTTATCCAAAAAAAAAAAGGTTGATGCGAAAAGCCTAATAGATTTTTAGTTTTAGCTAATTTTGGGTTTAGTGGATCTTACTACGATGCTATTATGCTTAAATTATCTGCAATATATCACCCCCAAGAACCTCCACCTACAGATACTTTCACCCAGTTTATTTTTGATAATAATGCCGACTTTAATGTGGTCACTTTAGACGGCTTGAACACATATCACAGCATGGGGGGTATTTTATGCATTACACCTGCGGGATCTGTACCAGTTGGAAAAGAAATCAAGAAATTAACAAATGCTCCTACTACTACACAAACTGAAACGTTATGAGTCCTAAAACTATAAAAGTTCAACAAACTGACTAAAAGAGCATTAAAGCAAATTATGATAGAAACGTGAATCAACAACATCATCTGTACCAAGAGTCTCCTGTACTAAGTCTGTATGACATGGTATGGATCTGTGGAATTGGATAAAAGTGCAGTTAGACCTCTCCCTTTCATCACATCACCTAGTGATTACGATACAATGGGATAGTAGACTATGTACGAAAATCAGTAAAAAAACTGCTCGACATTATTCTATAGGCTAAATGGTGATGGCATATTGGGATACTGAATTATTTTCTAGTATAGTGTCTATAGAATCAGTCAGAGAAAAACAAACTGTAATTTGAATTTAGCGCCACAGCGGCCACCAATAGTATTCAAGCCGCTGACCAACTGGCAACGCTGCTCAAAATGCCTCAAAATGACAGCTGACTTAAACGGTTCAACGACGTGTGGCGTCGTGTGAATCGTGTGACATGTGACATTTTCACAGACTTGTTTACGGTTTACGTTGTTTGATGTAGTAAATGTGATGGTTCGTTCTTGAAGGTCAATGTCAGTGCAAATTGTGTGTTCTCAAAACCGTGATATGTTGCCAGATTGGAAAAACTAACAACGTCACGAACTTTTATTTTCACGTAGGGGCAGGGCCAAGAGGAAATTAAAAAAATAAAATTCCAGGCTATTGCTTTTTTTACAAAGCAACTGATTACACTAAATAGTACGATACATCGAGTATATCACTACGTAGTAGTTAAAAATCACTTGTATACTACCCCATTTATACAGCTTTATAATACGTTGCAGATCGATGTCAGACCAAAACATGTTTCGTTACATTTGATTTTCCCCTTTATATCAAAGCCCGAGACATTGTTGCATCTAGTCAAGATGATCTCAAACTCAAAAGTATATTTGTTAAACTTGTTGGGCTCCGCACATTACTAAGCAATATATTTGCTGTCAGTTCAGTTGATGAAATGTTAAGTGGTCGTGCTCATGCTAGAGCAGTTAGCACGCATTTGTTAGTACCACACACACACTACTTTATCATTGATGATATTAAATAATGTGGATATTAGTGATAACGAAAGAAGAAAACTGTAAATATCTTTTTAAGGCCGCGTTAATGGCCGCCATATTTAAACTGTGATTGGTTGATTTTTAGACATTTGTTTTAAGATCTTTAAAAAAACGGCACATCGGAATTGGCTCAATTTTGGCATAAACATTATTTGATCGATTATCTACAATTCCTTGCTTTGGTTTTTCGATGTTCAGCCTTTTTTTTCAAATTCAAAAATCATGTTCGCAACCACCAAAACAATTAAATGTGTTGGTGGTTGCATATTTGCATGTTCATCAAGCTTGGATCCGTGAAAAGCATATTTTATTAATAACCACGAAAAACTAAAAAAAGCTAATTGTAGAGATTATAGATAATATATCAAATAATGTTTATTTGATTACTTTAAAACGAATTTTGAAGGCGAAAACAGTTCAAGCAATTTGAAGTAGATGGCGCCACGGCAAAAAAGCTACATTGGGAGCATCATAGTGCTTCACCGACAAACAGATTTTTTTTACTACTTACCTGAGAAATAGTCATTATTCAATCTATTTTTCTAGGAAAAAATTGAATTTCTCTCCCTAGGTGAATAATGAAAATAATGAAAAAGTCCCTAGGTCAATAATGAAAATGACGTCATGACGCAAGGATATTGTCATGTTTCTATTGGTCCAATTTCAATTTCATGCGTCAATTTAAAACAAAATACAGGTTTCTGTAGGTACATAGGAAGTTATCATAAGCTGTTGATAGAGGGCAGCACTTTCAAGAGGGCGTTCAAAAAAAAATAATTAGAGCACAGATTTTAAGCAAATTTTTTATTTTCTACTAGCAGTAGTAAAAAAAATTCTATATATTCCTCGGTAGAGAAAGTCATTATATACCTCACGCATTATAAACCTCGGCGCTTTGCGCCTCGGTTTATAAAAGCGCTCGGTATATATAATGACCAACTTCTCTACCTAGGTATTTAATATACTATTGTTTTAGACAAATAATAAAATATTGGCCATTAACGCGGCCTTGAAAGATATGCTAACAAAGCCACTAAGTTCAGAAATATTAAACAACAACGCGCATTTGACTTCACTTCAAATGGAAAATCTTAGAGTGGAAAATAAATAAAACATTTTTAAAGATACTAATGCTGCACTCTTGGTCCAGTGCTATCACATGGTCATAATTATGAAACAATTTATTGCTACAGGCTCACCTTAGCTGTGTTCAGAGAATGATTCATTTTTTTCATGCTAGTGGTCACTTTCAGTACGCGCTATGTGCTCATCTGTATCTACAGGACAGGATACGATCCAGCATGAAATTAAGAATGAAGCCAAATGAGTTAGCAAGGATACTTTACTATGAGGAGAAGCGATTCCTTTTGAAGTGGGTTTGTTCTGACATGGCCATAGAACAAACTTTGATTCGCAGCATGAAGAGCTTTGGCGGAAGGATTCGAGGCGAGCGATTCGACACTAGCTAAATGGTTACAAGCGAACATTGGTTTTCAGGTAAGAAAGCGGTCGGATAGGGATTTCTGTTGACGGAAAACTCGGGCGCCACCCTTAGGATTATAGTGGTTGAGGGCCCACGTGCTCTAGGTAGCTGTTAAACAGTGGAGACGGAAAACCGGACGTCAATGAGCATTACCCAAAAATGAAACACACAATCCATCCAAGAAAGTAGTTTCTATTGTTTGTCCAATAATTTATAATACAATAGGAAATAAATGTAAGAAAACCTAATTACCTTACGGGTTCAATAAAATGAAAAGCAAAACAGAGAGTTACGGGGAGGCCATCGAAGTACGTGCGCGTGTCGGGCAAGTCACGTAAATTTGACGGTTCAAGATTATGGTACGGTAATGGTAAGTCGGCAGAAGGAAAGCTCCAGGAACCATGGTCGGTCCAGCCCCTACAACCGTCAGCTCGCAGGATCAGCCCTTTAGGCCGCATGCGCGCATTCACAATTCGCGCAGAATGCATGTAACAAGAGGAGCAAGAAATGTGCAGAATGAAGAGTACTACCCTGTACATGGTCCATTCCTTAGCCCTCTTTATTCTGTCCAAGGGCAGAGCTGCCCTGTGCATGTTTCAGCCCGCAGCTCTGGTCACGAGAACCCTGACCGAATGGCCCGAATACTGGGCACTGGCTGTGTCGCGCGTTAAATATGCCTGCGAGCGTCACATGACGATGTTGGGGAATAGGCGGTAGGCGACTTTTCGAGCAAGGTCACGCGTAAAATTGTTAATTCATTTAAATATGCTAGCGAGCGTCACATGACGACGGTGGGGAATTCTCTCTCCGATTTCCCGACTGCGGTGCCACACGATTTCGATTCCCGAATGCTATGCTATGCGGGATCGGCGGATAAAGTCTTAATTCTTATCCTCTAAAATAACATCTCCCATGCCTAATATTCGTTGAGAGCATCTGGTAACACTGAGCCTGCTTCCGAAGTATTTCGTCCGAGAAATACTGACCGACCCAACCGTCCGTATATTTTGATTGGATTTCCAGGCCGCATTTGGAAAGATCTCCTTTAGTATACTAAAGGATTATCTATAGATAAATTGAAAATGTTGAAAAATTGCACCAGGTCAACAATGAACGAACAAAGGTTGCGTGAAAACTGGTCTTCAAAAAAAAAAACTATATCAAAGAGTGCTTTGATTACTGGTGATTTCCATTTGTCAATCGGTGCGCACTGAGTGTATTCCCATTTCGCATCTTTTTCTAAAACTTTGTAAATTATAAGGATATAGATACATTTTTATTCCACTGATTCTGCAAATGGAAATCACTATACGAAAATGTACTGGATGATCTATTATAAATGTCACCCCCTCCTAACTATTTCATTTGACGTTTTTGACAAAAGTGTCAAATATATAAGTTTTTAGAAATATTTTAAACCAAGTCAGTTTTAAGCATACAGGGTGCGTCAAAAAAGTGTACCAGTGCGAAAAACATAAATACAGATACATACATTAATACATATAAAACCCTACAATAACCAAAATAACCCAAACTAACCAACATGAATACAGATACATGAATACGTAAAACCCTACAAGTATTTTTCAAAAATATGTAATAGTTATTTTTGTATTTAGTGCGTGAAATTCGAAGCCAAAATTGCATTCTCAATCAAAGGTAGGTGAATTTTAATTATTTTTGGTTTCCTGACAGATGTGTCAACATGACACCAGTGTGCGAACTAGCTATCTCGCGCACTAGTGTGCGAAATAGATAGTTCGCGCACGGCGTCATGGGAACGTTAAAAAATCAATACCTGGGAAAAAAAGTGTCACTTCGCAAACTGTCATGAGTGTGCGAACATCATCATTTTTTGACAGTTGTAGAAAAACTAATGTTATGCAATCTTTGTTGCGCTGAATTACCAAAAATTTACCGCCAGATAAACAAATCAATGTACTCTGGTGAAAATGGAGAACTCATCACTCCAAGTCTTCTCAAAAATATTTTAAGGCAAATCCAAAGCCCTTGAACCTGGTTGCTACAGACTCCTGTGTTTGGATCAACAAAATGCCCAGAATGGTTCACGGTACGGTAAATATATCCTCTTCTATTCAAACTCCGATAGCCTCTCCACTCATCATTCCATATTTCTGAACCTGGCCTTGCCCCTTCTTGGATAATGGGTATTAAGGTGTTCGCGGACCTTTCTGGTACATATTTATCATACCCCTTTTTTGTAGTGACATCGTATATAATTTACTTAATACCCATTTCTCGTGCACCAGTCTGTCCCTGTTATATTTCCTTCTGGAAATAACAGATTTGTCTATTTGGATGACATGCCCTGGACCATCCATCAAAAAGGCATCAGCTTGATCTTTCTGAAGTAGTTTCCAGCTAACAACATACCGATAATATTTGTATTGCTGTATTATCATTGCGCGACGAAC